ACCTAATAAACACATTTTTTTCTTTTCTTGATTTTTTTGGGAAGAGGTCTGGGCACACTATTGTGCCAGGGGTCCAAAATTTGGTGCTACTATTCTATACTATTACTATTCCCGTGCCAACCAAGTCTTCCTGCAGGCAGTGATGTGGGGGTTTTGCTTTGCATTCTTGACCAGACTGTGAGCAACTTTTTTCAGAGACTTTTTTTGATCATACACATCTTGTCATGACTTCAGCCCTTCTCCTTAACTGTACACTGGAAGTGGAAATCTTCTCTTGCTTTGTAAGCATCACTTATCTTTTGTTTCAGATCCCTGGCTGCTGAGTTTAAGCACAGCAGATTGAGAAGTTTTAAAGGGCCAAATCATTTATTACACTCTGGAATTGTCTATATTTGACTTGGATTAAGGCCTAATGAGTCAAAGCTGTGAGACTTTTGTTCCAGTATGTTAATTTCAGCAAAGAAATACCAATTGTGCAGCAATGTGTAAAAATGTGTCATATTAAGTTTGTTCTATGCAGATTTGTGTTAACTTCTTTTCAACTAGAAGATCAATAAAATGTGTTATTTGAATAGGGGTGCCCGAAGTTTCACATACAACTACATGTATACTTACTGGTTGGACTTCTTTGCTATACAGGTGATCAAATTTTGCAGAACTGTTTGCTATACAAATATTTCACAACTTCCTTTTCACCTTCAGTGAACAGGAACTCTACTGAATGTCTTTATCTCTGCAGTTCAGTTACCATAAAAAGACATCTGGTTTAGGCCCATCTCTGAAATTAGATCTAAAACATGCTACGTCTGAAGACTTCCTGTGACGGGGCAGTTGAGGTCAGAATGTTTCCCTCCGTTTCTACTGGATCATGTTTAAAATATTCTCAGATAACGTTTGGTGGATTTTATTAGCTTGGACGCTTCTTAAAGGAAAAGAAAACAGCTGTGTTTGTAAACACAGAGTGCATGGGATACATAGCTGACCATCCTCATGTAGGCCTGCTACATGCACTGCGATTTTACTGGACCCAAGTGAGCAGATAGGTTTTTTTTCTGGAAACAGAGGGAAAAATAAGACAACAAGCCAAATTTGAGTCCATCTGGATGTGATCACAGAGTGAAGGTTACCATACCGCCACAAAGCAAGGAACAAGTGTTATGAATGAGCTATCAGAGCGTTTCCTCCTCCCTAGAGAAAGTCTGCCATCATCTCTCTCAGACATTACAAACCGAAGCTGCATCTGTATTAGAATTAGTCACCAGTCCAAAGTAAAAGCCAAGGACACATGGAATTGTAACTATTCCCTGCTCTTTAAGACACACAGCAAAATCCTCAGTGTTGAATTTGAAGTATTTATTTGTGTCCAGCTGAACATTGTAGGTGTTAATTTATCCCTGAAAGTGATGGTTCAATATGGAATGGACAAAAATATGTCACATGCAACATACTAATGGATATGCTAACACTCTCGGTCAAATGATGTTTTGTTGATTTTATCAGTAAAAAAAAAAAGTTAACACGTCCTCTACAGAGGCACTTATATATGACATTCTTCTGCAAATTTTAGTGCACAATTTTATTAATTTGCTTTTTTAAGTTTAACTTTTTGGGGAAAAATATGCCATAACTTTTTTTGCCCCAATATATTATGTTATATATACTACCTGTGAAATGTTTTTGAACATTTTTCCGGTTTTTATCAATATTTAAGCATTTCAAGTCTAAAATGGGAGTAAGATAAGGAGTAAATTGCCAGAGCTTAAAAAAAATTAACAGGCCTTCACTGGGACAACTTACAGTTGTCAACATGCTCCCAGATGCACAGATGTATACTTACTGGTTTGGGTCCTTTGCTGTACAGGTGACCAGGTTTTGCAGAACTGTTTGCTATACCAGTATTTTACAACTTCTTTTTCACCTTCAGTGAACAGGAACTGTACTGCATACCTTTATCTCTGCACTTTGGTTTACAATAAAAAGACATCTGTCAGTTTAGGTTCATCTCTAAAATTAGATCTAGAAACCTGCTATGTCTATAGACTTCTTGGACAGTTAAAAAGGAGTTCATTTTCAGTGGTCATAATTTTATTTTTGTGGTCTGAATATATGTACATGCTTCAATGTTCAACAAACACATTATTTGTCCCCATACTGTTCATCTCTATTCACCCTCTGTCTGAAACGTTCTGTTAGAGTGCCTGTGTCTTTAAGCCCCGCCTCCCGATGAACTCAAGGTGCTCTGATTGGTCAGCTCACCCGCTCTGTTCTGATTGGTTGACCATTATTGCGGTTCTGCTCCTACATGTTCCGCCCCTGTCCTGCAGTCTGCGGACAGACCCTTCTCTCCTGAGCATCTGAAAACTCCACTGTGGCTGTTTCTCCAGCAGTGTCGGTTCTGCCGTATCAGTTTGATCCAGAGTGGATCCTGAAAGTCCAGTCAGCATCTTCTCCACACGGCTACAACACTGATCACACTCTTCTTCCTCCAGTAGCTGTGTGTGGGTGGGCCGAGCTTGCTGGTAGGCAGGCAGTGAGGACTGTGTTACGAGATGACATCATCTTGTAACAAAGGAAAAGGGCAGGAATTCCAGCGAGGCGTTTAAGGCAGCTGAGAAAAGTGGTTTCTGTGGGAGAGAGTTGCTCCCTCTGGAGGCAACTTTGAGCTTTGTGACTTTGCAGATTGTTTACATGCATAAAAGGCTACAACACATTAAGGAATGGGGAAAACTGTTTGCATGCAAAACTGACAACACAGTCATTATCTGATATCAGCAGTTATCTGAATATTCAAGTGGTTGCGTAAACAGCACATTCCGATTTCTTACATCGGATTAAAGAAATCCAATAAAAAGACCTGGATCTGATGTCAATAATCTTTTTTTTTCAGTGCTTGTATATTCTTACTCTGATTTTGTTTTTTTTTCTATATCTACTCATTTGCGCAAACAGAACAGAAGAGCTGCCTGGGAAACAATAAACATTAGACACTTATTTCAATGATACAACCATGAAATGGCACAAATGACCACATTATGTGCAATTTGGAGCCAAATAAATAACTCTAGCAGAGGTGCACATGTATATTTAGAAAGAAATCTGATTACGTGTGACTTCTGTAGACCCGTGTACTGTTTCTCATTAAAAAAGATTACTGAAGTGCTTTAATTATTGCCAAAATCTGATTTTCTGCAGTTATTGGATTATTATGTGCATGTAAACATGCTTGACCCAAATAGAAGACAGGATATCCTGGAGAAACACTATCCATATAGATGCCAGGAGGGTATGTTTTACAAAGCAGGATTCTCAGTAAGCTGGATAACTTGAGTCAAATGTTGAAGATTGTCCGATAGGAATGTTCCTTGAATTTTTTATGGTTGGACAGGTTTGTTTTTTAAATTTATTTTTATTTTTTTTGCATAGGTCAGGTGTCAGAAACCCAAATGTTAAGAAGAACCATTCTGTCCTCCCAGCAAAAATCAAACCACCTTAGGAACCACAACACTTTATGTCCGTTTTACCACCTTGGCTGTAAATATGTCTCAGTATGTGCTGATGTGCTAGTATAGACTAATGCAGACTTACTTTGCTCTGCTTTAAGCTTTAGCTCAGCTATAGCCGCTTTTCTCGCATCTCCAGCAGGAAACTTTTCCACAAAAGTAGAACAGTTTCTTGTAAAATGTCTCTCAATATTTAATTTTTACGAGGCTGAAGTCGCTTCTCTTTCGCCAGCTTCTTGTTCGAATTTTCCCATTCCACCTTAAATGGTGCCTGAGGCGCCAGAGTGTAACTGCTTCACCATTTAAGGTGGAACGGGAAAATTCAAAGGGTGAATTAGCAGTTCTACATTAACTCCAGCATTTAAGACCATTTATTGTTAAACTGTGTTGAACGATCAGCAGAGCTTTATTTTACCTACAAATCGAATTCTGATATGGATCCGCAACAGGGCATCCCTGACCACCTCCGAAGGTGGTTTGAGTGATCGGATCACACGTCATGCATCTCCAAGACACAGTGGAGCCTGTTTACACTTTTTAATTGGAGAGATGTAAGCTTTCATTATTTGATATCTACAATAGCCTTGTAGCCTTGTTAGCTACATTAGCCTTGTAGCCTTGTATCCTGCACATTAGCCTTGTAGTTTGAATTCTTTACATCATGTGCTGTGCTGGCTTGGTGTGTTTACTGAAAAGTTGCTGAGCAACAAAAGAGGTGCACATTGTGTATTTAGAAAGAAATCTGATTATGTGTGGCTTCTGTAGTCTCATGTAATGTTTCCCATTAAAAAAAGATGATCACCAAATTGTCAGTACAAAACTAAAGAAGCAAACGTCTGATTTAATCTGATCTGATTTAATCTAACTGAGGTCCTTTAGTGTTTATAAGTTACAACCTCCAACAAAATACCGAGCATTTATTTAAATTATAGTTTATGTGCATCTGTGGTTAATACTGTTGTTAAAAACAGCAATTTGTCCAAAACAAATAAATGACAACAAGTTTCTTCACCACATGTGTGCACTGGATCCAATGACTTTGTTTTATTGATAATTTTATATATACAGTATGAAGCCATTAAAGAAAGGCCCAGTACTACTTAGGTAAGTGGATCTGCATCTGTACATTATGAAGTCTATGACGTCTTTGTCAAAATCTGTTTGAGCCCTTTTTTAATTAAACCTCTCAGAGTAAAAGTACTGTCCCAGGGGTTTTTCACCCCTTAAAATGGCCAGGAGCTGTCGGCTTCCATTCCTCACTCCAATAATTTAAATATAACTCAGCCAGGTTGGATTGTCTTCTATGTAGAAGCTGTTTAGATCTTCTGATTTTTTCTTGGCCATGCATTTTGTCCCCTTGTTATGCTCTCAGCACACATCAGCACAATTCTTTCAGGTGTTTAAACCGTCTTTGGGCCAACAGAGTTTCAAATGTGCTTTAAAAAAATTTATTAAACAATTATTTAGGCAAAATCTTCTCTTCAGACCAAGGAAGACGCTATGAACATGGCATATTCAAGCTAAATACACCCAAAGGATTACCAAATAGCTGCTTAACGTTAATGAAAACAGTGGAAATCAAACAGTAGTTGAAAAATTTCACAAGAAGTCAGGGTGTTCCCAAAGTCTGACAGGCAGTGAAGGTGTGCATGTGGGTCCTGGATGCCAGATCAGTACTCTGCCACTGAAAAGCTTTGATAAATACAAGCCCTCGGGGTATTTCACACTACAGGATTTCTCAGTAAACAAAAAGATTTTAGCCAAAGTTGCCAGGCAGGAATGTCCCCTATCTCTTCTCCTATTCGACAAACTTTTCGAACAAGCTGAGAAAGACTGCTCAGTGAAATACCCCCTGGTTTTCATGGAGTGGCATCCTCCGAGTTTCGTACACCAGTCCAGCGATCCCTCAGCTTCCTTAGCAGCTTCCTTATTGGCTCAGTGTACTGCCGGTTGGCCAGGCCCAGTATGACCGGGATAATGGCCATGCTGCCAATCCCTGTGCAGGACAGGATGATGTTTAGGGATGAGTTGTTGTCATTCTCATCTTGAAAAAGTACCACGGACACATGGAGGTACACAATGTATGGCACCCAGCAGAGGAGGAAAGTGAGGGAGACGGCAGCTACGCATTTAGCATAACGTACGTTGAGCTGCTGCTCATGGTCCGAAGCTTCATGACGCTCCACTGCACGGTGGAGCTTGCAGATGTCCCGCAGCTGCTTCCTTGCGATCCACAGCACACGACCAGTCATCACTATAATGCACATGATTGCTGGAAGAAGTAGCCCATATACCTCCATGTAGATAAAGGGTCTTGGAAATATCTGTTTGTAGGAGCAATGTTCATCATCCTGACATGTGCCTGAAGAACAGTTACTACTTCCATCTCCACTGGATGAGCCACTGGTGTTATGGTAGTTATAGTAGCTCTCACTGCTCCACTCATTCCAGTTGTTCCAGCCAAAGGCAGGAAGGGAAGCAAAGAGCAATGGAGGCATCCAGACAGCCAGCAAGGCGGCGGGGAAGCATCGGTGCACCCAAAACTGACTGTAGTGCAGTGGGCTGACGATGCAAAGGTAGCGCTCATAGTGCACCATGACCAGGTTGAAGAGGAAGGACAGGAAGAGGAAGTTGGGGAAGATGTGCATGAACAGGCAGGCTTGAAAGTTCAACGAACGGGTGAGGCCCATTCGAGGAATGAACGGCAAGGCGATGCCTGTGCAAAGGTCCGCCACAAGCAGGCTCAAGAAGAAGTAGTTGGGGGTGTTGTGGAGCTGGCGGTTGCAGGCAATTCCCACGATGATGAGGAGGTTGGCCAGGATGATGGCGGAGGACAGGGGCAGCGTGATGATGAAGATGAGTCTCTCCTGCTCCAGTGGATCAACAGTGTCCATGCCGTTCTTCTGTGCACCTCAGTCTCACCCCATTCACTATAGGAGAGGTAAGAGATGGTGTAGTTACATAATGTGTAGAGAGCATCCTCACATCTAAAGCCCTGAACACACCTACCCAGTGTTCTCCAACAAACTCAATTGTTGGGTTAGTTTGCCATGCCTATGTGTGGTTGTTGGGAATAGAGCTGGGAATCAAAATTCAATGTCTTGCTTGTACAGGCCAAATTTCTTTAATACTACCAAGCTTTAAAAAATTTACTCACATTAAGAAGAGATAAGCCTAAAAAAGAATCTGACCTTTTGTGCAAAGGCTTAAACATGGTCAGTGTCACAAACGTGCTTGAATTTGAATAGTGACTTCAAAATAGTGCAGAATTTTGAATACGTCTTACTTAACTTTTCTTTGTTCTAAATTTTGTACATTTTTAAAATGTTCTGTTTATTTCTGAGGTAAAATAAAAAAATATTTTAGATTTTCACTGTGGACTTTCCATATAAATCCGTAGTAAAAATGAACGTCATTTTTGAAAAATTGCTGTTATCATACTCTATTTTTTCCTTCTTAAACCCAAGTCACTGTATACTCTAAATTATGTGCTCGTTATGGAGTCAAAATACAAGTAATGATACTTCCATTCTACTAGCAAACTAACACTGCACACTGAAATGATGCTGCATGAAAGTAGGTCTACTACTAACTACTAACAGTATTATATAACACCAGTTACTCAAAGTGTAGGCTAAAACTGCCAGAGCCGCTTAACCACCACATTTAACAAATCTTTCTGTTTTTGTGGGAAATTTCGATGAGGCCTTCAGTCTTATGGTGTCAATTCGGTGCACAGCACTGCTAGCTAGATTGGCGCATTATTCATAATTTACAGACTGTAATTCCGAGGATCCAGTGACACTCAGAAGGGAAAAAGGATGTATGGCAAAATGCATTTGGTTCAGAACAATTTTGCTTATCACAGGATGTGAAAGCGGCAAGTTTCAGTAATGGCATTCATTGGGCCTCGTTCACCAACCGTTCTTAAGAATCAATTTCTTCTTAAAACCTACTTGCGCAGTTTTTACGAAGATTCTGATATTCACCAATGTTCTCCTATCTGGGATTTGTTCTTAGGTAAGAACAGAGTCTACACACACTCAAGAACACAAAGGTGAGAACAGTTCTGCGGTTTCAGAGCACGCCATGGATCTGACGTAGACTTTTTCTTAGGACCTTTCTCAAGAACACATTTAAGAAGAAACATAGGAAGACATTTGCGAATGAGGCCCATTAATTCCGAAGAGAAAACCAGCTTATATTCCTAGTATAGTTCCTAATATGGGCATGACATCGACTAAAGAATGACAATGAACATTCAGAGCTCTTAAATTTAAAGCCCCCTAAAATTAAAGCCCAGAGGATTGGCTCACAGTTTTTGACCAATTCTACAGGCTTTCGATCACCTACTGCTTTACTTCTATTGGATATTAGGTTGATAAGTATGTCTATTATAAGCCTATAATAATCTCTTGATAAGCTACACTGAGGCACAGGGGAACTGGAGCGGCAAACAACAGCAGGGACGTGCCTCTTCTGACGTCTTGTTGCTGTTTGATTCTAGAAGAAGTTGACTGACATTTACCAACAGCCAGAGCTTCTGTCTGGTGGACTATGTTCAGGTGATCCTGCTGCTTGGAAACTGAAGCCATGGAGAGCTCCACTTTTGTCTCAAAAACCATGTAGGCGTCAAAAAATAATCTCAGCCTATCTGAAAAACATTTTTCAATAGAAGACAATATAGGCGTGGCAGCAGGAAAATAAAACATCTACTTGCCTGACGTTTTACAAGGTCAGCTGCACTTTAAAGGCCTTTATGAGCTGAATTATTTAATAAAGTGTCCTGCTAGCTGCTCAGATCCACCAACGCCTGATGAGTAATGTGTCTTTAACAGAGCTATCCACTTAATTTAACATTTAACACGAGATTCAAAGAAAACTATCACCCTCAGCTCTAATGTCCACTGCCGCCTCGAAGGGATTAATCATTGCGCTTGTGTTTGCACTTGAACCTTGTTGGCGTCCTGCGATAGATGACTAAAATGATTAATCTGCACTGAAACTCAGCTCATACAGAAACTGCAGCTATACACAGATTACAGTGTCCAACATGCAGCTCCAACAGCGCCAATCACAACTGCTCTACATGCATTTGTTCTGTGCAACACCAACTACACTGGCTTGGAATCACTCGTCATATTAATAATGTTGGTAATTTATTTAATATTCACTGATATGGATGTCACTGAAAAGTATAAACTAGACATTAAAATGTGTTTTAAGTGTTTTATTTAATATTTCACATCTTTTGGTAACAAAGAATGTTTTAGATGATATATACTATATTATCATCATTTTCTGTTTATTCTGATTCTATGTCAAGTTATCTGTTGAGATTTGATCACCTGTTGATGTATGAGGCATTATGGACGTTATTTTTTCTATAACTTCATTTCAGATATTAATTCTTCACCTTTAAAAAAGGCGTTTTAAGGGTAATATCTAGAACTGTGACAACTCAAGGAGCCATTTGAATGCATAAATGGTTCTTTACATCATTAAATGATTTTTTTTGTGCTGGAAACTGTTGTGTATGGTTCTTTAAGGAACCTTTTAAAAAACGTTCTACCAAAAAGGGTTCTGCCACTGTTATAAGTCAAAGAACCTTTTTTGGTACTGTATAGAACTATTTTTGCCAAGAGTGTAGAATAATTTCATTCTGGATATTAATTTTACTAGAACTTTATTCTGGATGTTCATTTTTCTAGAACTTCATTCTGGATGTTAATGTTCTTAGAACTTCATTCTGATATTAATTTACCTAGAACTTCATTCTGGATATTAATGTTATTATTACTACTTCATTCTAGATATTCATTTTATAAGAACTTCATTGTGGATGTTAATTTTAGTAGAACCTCACTCTGGAAGTTACTTTTATTAGAACTTCATTCTAGATATTCATTTTATTAGAACTTCATTCTGGATGTTAATTTTAGTAGAACCTCACTCTGGAAGTTACTTTTATCAGAACTTCATTCTAGATATTCATTTTATTAGAACTTCATTCTGGATATTAATGTTATTATTACTACTTCATTCTAGATATTCATTTTATAAGAACTTCATTGTGGATGTTAATTTTAGTAGAATTCATTATGAAAATTAATCTTATTAGAATCTAATTCTGGATATTAATGTTTTTATTACTACTTCGTTCTGCATGTTACTTCTATTAGAACTTCATTCTGGATGGTAATTTTACTAGAACTTCACTGTAGATATTCATTTTATTAGAACTTCATTGTGGAAATGAATTTTATTAGAACTTAATTCTGAATATTAATCTTATTAGAACCTAATTCCGAATACTCACTGATGTTGTGCATGTAAACACCACTAAAACCCAGACCCATTATTATTCATACTGAGTGTTTCTCATAGTTTCCTCTAAGTTTTAGGTGTGAACACGGTGGAGATGTTACGACCTTCATAAACATAATAAGAGGAAATCAGTTGTGATCATAATCATAACTGCTGGAGTGTCAGTATCTCTGAAGAACTGTTGTATAATGCTGACACTCTCACAGTCCAGTATACAGTCAGTCCATAATGTACAGTAACACATCATCAACGCTGTGATTCTAATAAAACCTGCTCGTCTAAATAAGGCAGTTAAAACCTCATGTAGACTGCAGTAAAACACTGACCTTGATGAACAAATAAGGAAAATCCTCTTTAAACGCTTCAAGCCATCCGTCTGTCCAGCTTTCCCTCGTTTTCCTTCACGTTAGCTCCCTGCATCCTCCTGCTGTTGCACTGTCACTCCAGACCCCCGAGACTGGAGCGAGGGGCCGATCGCAGCAGCTAGAAACTACTCTGAACATGATATAACAGAGTGTAATGCTCTTAAAGAGACAGTATGCCCTATTTGGGGCGTGACTCACTGAAGGAAGTGAAAGTTTAAAATGTTGTACACAGGAAGCATTGATTTACTGGACAGTCAGCTGTGGGGGTGTGAGAAAGAGTCCATTTACTTCTATTTCTGATTTCTATTTTAGTATAGTCCTTAAAGGGGACATAGCCAGCAAAAAGTCTTCATTTTTGAATAAAAGAGTTCATTATAGTATTTAGTATCTATATGCATTCAGTGCCCTCCACAAATATTGGCACCGCTGGTAAACATGATCAAAACAGGCTATAAAAAAAAACATTTTTTATTTTAGTTTATCCTTTTGATCTTTTATTCAAAATATTAATAAAAATCTAGCCTTTATTTGAAGGACAATGTCTAAAAAAAAAGAAATCTTGTTGTGTACCACAATCATTGGCACCTTTTATTTAATACTTTGCGCAGTTTCCCTTTGCAAAGATACCAGCTCTATACGCTTAATGAGACTGGAGAACACATGGCAAAGGATCTGAGCCCTTTCCTCCATACAGAACCTCTCCAGATCCTCCAGATTCTAAGGGCCACACTGTGGACTCCCCTCTTCGTCTCATTCCACAGGTTTTCTTTGGGACTGAGGCCATGCCAAAACCTTAATTCTGTGGTCAGTAAACCATTTTTATGTTGATTTTGAGGCTTTGGATCATTGTCCTGCTTGAAGATCTAAACTATGGCCCGGTTTAAGCTTCCTGGTTGAGGCAGTCAGGTTTTGATTCAATATCTGCTGGTACTTGATGCAGTCTGTGATACCATGTATGTGAATAAATTGTCCAGGGCCTTTGGAAGAAAAAGCAGTGGTGCTTTTCTACATGGCTGTCCACACCAAACTCACCTCTGGCTCTTAGACTTTAGAGACTGTGAAAGCTTAGCAGTTCTCAGGCGACTCTGCAGTTGTGGAGGAAGGAAAGAGGAGTACAGGGGAATTAACAGTTTTGTGGAATGGTTATGGATTGAACCGCCTGGAATTTACCATCTCAAAGACTAAGGGGTTAGTGGTGGACTTGCTCTGACTCCTGTTTCCATTGACAGCTCCAACACTGAGGTGGTTCAGGAGTACAAGTACCTCGGAGTTCGCCTGGACAGTAAACTGGACTGGGCAAGGAACTCATAGGCTTCATACAAGAAGGGTCAGAGCTGACTCTACTTTCTTAGGAGGCTGAGCTCCTTTAATGTCTGTAGTGATAAGGCTGGATGTTGTTCCACTCAGTGGTGACCAGTGTGGTTTTCTACATCACAGTGTTTGGTGATTGCTTCGATTTGGCCAGTGAAAGTGAATCTATTACAATGCCAAGTACATAAAACATGATACACTCGATTCCAAAAGTGACTCCCTGCAATTCAGTCATTTTACTTCTCAAGCAAATTCACTGTCTGTCAAAAAAGTTTGGGGACATCTAGTCTTTTAAAAGAAATCTCTTCAGCCATTGTAAAAAACCTATAAAACTGAGAGAACAGCTGAGAAAAGCTCCACTTTGGGAATGAAGTCAAAGTCCACTCTTTTTATCCCCTTGTTGTGATGTCAGTGCTCAAACCTTTCAGGTGTGTAAAGCACCTTTGTACCAAAGGAATTCAAACATGATCTTTTAACTACAGTGTGGAACAGAAAATGGTCTAATCATTACTTAGGCAAAATTTAATATATTATATGTAAAAATTTTAAATGTTAAGATGTTCACAATTTTAAATTAAGTAAAGTTTCTTTAGCAGAAAATGTTGTTTTTACTATAAAAATAACAGGTAGATCTGTGGCTGGGAGTCCAAGAGAGCACAATTGGCCTCACTCTCTTTGGGTGGGTAGGATGGCCCCTCCTTCTCCCCCCATCACTCAACGCAATGCTAGTCAGCGGAGGCGTCTGTTAGCTGACGTAACAGATCTGGCGGTTGGCGCTTTCCTCCGAACGCGTTCGGCTGTCCGATGACGTTGCGTGAGCGGCAGTTCGAAAAGATGTGGTGGCTTCACAGGTCTCGGAGGAAGTCTATATTTGCCCTCACCCTCCTAGCGCTGGTGGTATCATGTGATTGGGGGGAGTCCTGACTAGTGAGTGGAATTGGAGACGACTAAATTGTGGAGAAAATTGGGGGGGGGGAAGACAGGTACATACAAATAGAAGTACAAATGTCTTATGTACCACTTGAGATTGTACTTTTAAATGTAGAAATTATATTTCAGCATGTAGAATTTCATTTCTCATTGATAGGAATTCAAGCCTTTTTCCAATTCATTATAACTGCAGTACCAATTTTTACTAGCATGAATTAAAATTTAAAATGTATTTTTTCCACAAAATCAAAAATTGAATTGACATGCTGAAATTCTAATTACTATGGCAAACCATTTATTTCCAGTTTTTCTTGATCTCAGAAATTTAATTCACACATTAAAACAGAAAACACAAATTAAATTTAAATTATCAAATATTACATTTTGACTAGTAGAAATTCAGTGTTGACTACAGAAATGAATTTTCACAAGTAAATACATTATATTGCCAAAAGTATCCACTCGTCTGCCTTCACACGCATATGAACTTGAGTGACATCCCATTCTTAATCCATAGGGTTTAATAGGATGTCGGCTCACCCTTTGCAGCTATAACAGCTTCAACTCTTCTGGGAAGGCTTTCCACAAGGGTTAGGAGTGTTTATGGGAATTTTTGACCATTCTTCCAGAAGCACATTTGTGAGGTCAGACACTGATGTTGATTGAAAGTCTCCGCTCTAATTCATCCCAAAGGTGTTCTATTGGGTTGAGGTGAGGGCTCTGTGCAGGCCAGTCAAGTTCTTCCACACCAAACTCACTCATCTATGTCTTTATGGACCTTGCTTTGTGCACTGGTGCACAGTCATGTTGGAACAGGAAGAGGCCGTCCCCAAACTGTTCCCACAAAGTTGGGAGCATGAAATTGTCCAAAATCTCTTGGTGCTGAAGCATTAAGAGTTCCTTTCACTGGAACTAAGGGGCCGAGCCCACCTCCTGAAAAACAACCCCACACCATAATCCCCCTCCACCAAACTTTACACTTGGCACAATGCAGTCAGACAAGTACCGTTCTCCTGGCAACCACCAAACCCAGACTCGTCCATCAGATTGCCAGACGGAGAAGCGTGATTGGTCACTCCAGAGAACACGTCTCCACTGCTCTAGAGTCCAGTGGCGGCGCTTTACACCACTGCATTCCACGCTTTGCACTTGGTAATGTAAGGCTTGGATGCAGCTGCTCGGCCATGGAAACCCATTCATGAAGCTCTCTACGCTGTTCTTGAGCTAATCTGAAGGCCACATGAAGTTTGGAGGTCTGTAGTGATTGACTCTGCAGAAAGTTGGCGACCTCTGCGCACTATGCGCCTCAGCATCCACTGACCCCGCTCTGTCATTTTACATGGCTGACCACTTCGTGGCTGAGTTGCTGTCGTTCCCAATTCTTTCACAAACGTTTGTAGAAGCAGTCTGCAGGCCTAGGTGCTTGGTTTTATACACCTGTGGCCATGGAAGTGATTGGAACACCTGAATTTAATTATTTGGATGGGTGAGTGAATACTTTTGGCAATATAGTGTATGTCATTCACGCTTGTGTGAGTTAATTTTTTTGTAAAATACATTGTAATTTGAAAAGCAGGATTAAAAGCTAACACTGTTTGAAATAAAATCAATTTAAATATGTAATTAGAATCTCAAGGTGTTAAATTAGATAAGTTAGTGATACGAATTCTCAATTGGGTTGAGATCGAGTCCAAGTCAAGGTCATTATAGAATAGTCGCCTTTCTGTTGTTCACCAGCTCCTGTGTTGGTTTGGCCTTGTGCCTGGGATCACTGGCCTGCTGAAAGATGAAGTTTCTCCCAAGCTGTATTTCTTCAGCAGACTGAAGCAGGTGGTCTTGCAGCATCTCTCTGTATTTTGCATCATCCATCAGTCCTTCAATTTTAACAAGATTCCCAGTCCCCGCTGCAGAAAAGCATCTGCACAACATGATGCTGCCACCACCATACTTCACTGCTGGGAGGGTGTTTGTTGAGAAATGGGCAGTGTTACGTTTGTGTCTCACACAGCATTTTGAATTTAGGCCACAAAACAATTTTTTTTTCGAATCACCACAAAACCTTTTCCCACATTTTAGCTGGGTCACTCTGATGCTTTCTGGCAAACTCCATACCTGCTTTGAAGTGTTTGTTCTTCAGTAAAGGCTTCTCCCTAGGCCAGTTATCTGTTGAGTTCTTACTATCTTTGGTGCACCTTCACTCCAGTCTGAGCCACTGATCTCTGTAGCTCCTTCAAAGTGATTGTTAGCCTTTCTGTGGCTTCACTCACAGATCCCCCTACTTGCTCTGATGCTGAGTTTTGAGGGACAGCCTTGTCCAAGCAGTGCCTGGGTGGCTTCAATTTCCAACATCTCACTGGGAAATCCAAACATTTAGATTGTAGCCTTTTCTTATCCTGCAAATGTCTATAACTTTATCTCTGATGGCCTTAAAATGCTCTTTAGTCTGTATTTTCACAGCTTTCCTTCAGATTGACAGTCAGACCAATGGTATTTGAATTGAGGGGGTCTTTTGTCCAGATAGGGTGAACAGAATATCTTCTTACATAAAACCAGCATCACTTTAAATTAATTTTGAGGGTCAGTGTTTAAAATAAACAATATGACACAGCAAAAAATATCAAAGTGTCATTTATAATCTGAATCTGATGACTTTTAAGGTATGTTGAATACTTTTGCAAGGAGCTGTATATCTCTAATGGTTTGGTCATCACAGTATGGAAGGTAAAAATAAAAAAGGTATAAATAATACTACTAATAATAGTAAATATACAAACCCAGTTCCAAAAAAGTTGGGACAGTATGTGAAATGCCAGAAGAGAGCAGTGATTAGTAAATTCTGTTTGACTTGTATTCAAATGAAGATGGTAC